CGGAAAAAAAACAAAAAAAAAAAAAAAAAAAAACCTTGTATACATAGAGAAAACTTTTGTATATTTGACTTTTTTAACCAAATACATGTATTTTTCAGAAATATTTTTAATGCAAAAAAGAAACATTTCTAAAATGTCTTTCCTACCTTTTCGGAATTAAAAATTGAGAATGAATAGACCCTATATAACAAATTTACGTAGAATCAGATTTGGTTTATACATTTCAGTTTTCAGTTGCAACACTGCACCCTCTTAAAGAAGAATATATAGCATAAAAATTAATCCAAATGAATATTCAGTCTCCACTTTCATTTTACCCAATTTATTTTTATTTATTTATTTTATTTTTTTTTTTAATTTTTATTTTTGTTGATATACAATGTGGTTGATTATTATGGCCCATCACCGAAACCTCCCTCCCTCCTCCCTCTCCCCCCTCCCACCCAACAATGTCCTTTCCGTTTGCTTGTTGTAACAACTTCAAAGGATTGTAGTTGTTATATCTTCTCTCCCCCCACTCCCCGGTTATTTTTTTTGTGTGAGTGAGTTTATTTATTTTTAGCTCCCACCAATAAGTGAGAACATGTAGTATTTCTTTTTCTCTGCCTNTCCGTTTGCTTGTTGTAACAACTTCAAAGGATTGTAGTTGTTATATCTTCTCTCCCCCCACCCCCCGGTTATTTTTTGTGTGTGAGTGAGTTTATTTATTTATTTTTAGCTCCCACCAATAAGTGAGAACATGTAGTATTTCTTTTTCTCTGCCTGACTCGTTTCACTTAATATATTTCTCTCAAGGTCCATCCATGTATTTTAGATTCTCTTCCCCAATTCTTCTCTGGAAGTGTTTTTTAAAAAGTCAGCATGCAACTATCCCCCTAAAACACAAAGAGACAATGAGACACCGGACTCATCTAAGGTCACCAAGTGAACCACAGGCAAAGATGAGGGCAGACTAGAATCGTTCAAGACCTTTCTGCTTTCCCTTATCTACAAAAGAAAATGTTTCAATAGGTTTAATATTAAAATTTGACCTGAACGCACTAGTAATTATCCATGGACAGGGAAAATAGCACATTTAACATAAAATTGGCCTATAACAAATTATTTCAGCTTACCTCAATTTCCCTTTCTTTGCTTATCTAATGGAGGAAGGCCTAATAAACAAAAAGATTACAAAAGTAGACAAGAGGAAGGAAAGGCAGAACTCAATTTCATGCAAATAACCATCTCCTGAATAATCAAAACTTGGCTGTGATTAGAAGTGAAGACAATGTAGCCTTTAAACAAGCAAACTTTTAAAAGACAGACACACTAAATAAATGTATATTTCAAAGTGATTTCCTTATTCCCAGAGGCTGAATTTGATCAAATTAGACGTTTCAAACTTATATCCTTTTAAAAGCCAATTGGCATTCCATATCTGTGAGCATCAGAGTCCCGGGAATTTGAACAATACGGCTCTACTGCGGGCTTTGTAGGCTGGTGGTTCCAAACAAGATTTCAGTCTCTGCCTTGCTCTGAAAACTTCCTTTTTCCACCAGCGTTACTGCACTTGCCAAGAGTGACATAACCTTGAAATTATTTGTTACATTTTCCAATGAACAAACCCAGCTTGTTAAGGAAATGGGCAGCCTATATCATTAGGAAAGAGTACAATAGAGGACTCAGAATTCAGCCTTGAGTGGTGGGCCCAGAGTACTACTCGTTTCTGGGAAATTTCTCTCATTTTAGAAACAATCCAGTACTTTAAATGTGCTGGCAGGACTGGATTAGCCTCTAGATGTTGTTAGGAGAGTATGCCACCTTCTGTGCCACATGAGAGCTGAAGTTCATATGGTCTTCAGTATATCCCAGTCCAGATAACATTCGCACACTCACTTCAGTTGCATCCACCATATTTTAGTGGTCTTTCTCTGAAGCAGGTCGGTTGGCAGAGAAATAAAATCTTGACAGCAACTGTTATCAAATTTGGGGGGAATTATAAAATTAATACACGTTTACTGAAGACAATTTTAAACGTCTCTAAAGAATTAAGTAGAAAACCAAGTCTCTATCTTACTAGCAGGAGGTATATCAGGGAACACACACTATTATTTTATTTTATTTTATTTATTTAATTTTTTTTTTGATTTCTTTAAGAAATTTTATTGTTTCAGTCATTTTACCCAATTTATATTGGCTAAGCTTGATCCCATGTCTTTTCTCTAGAACATTCATTCATTAATTATGAATAATTGATTTGCTTCCTATATTCAGGTTCATCAACTTGGCTGTGAAGTTGTCGTTTTGCTATTGGAACTTAATCCTGACCAAATAAATCTTTTTAACTGGGCAATTGACCGATGCTACACAGGTTCCTACCAACTTGCATCTGGCTGCTTCAAGGCCATAGCGACAGTGTGTGGAAGCAGGTATGAATTTTCATTAAGTAGTGGTCAGTGGCAGGTATGTTTGACGTTACCCTTCATGATATGAACGGTGGAGAGCTGACTGTTTGGCAATTATCTGAGCAGAATAAATTGTATAAGAATATAAAATGGCCTATAAGTCCCCAGTAGATAAACTACTCCCTATGAGTTTGCAGTTACATTGATTTTTCTCATTTTATCAGGAAAATAAATTTCTTTTTGTTGTTTGTTTGTTGTTATAGTACCTTTCTTTTTAATTGCCTGGAAATTCACAGTGAACTATTAGAGCAGGATTTGAAAATGATAAAGAAGATACATCAAAGGAATTAAAGGAATGTCTAGAAATGTTTATGGCAGGTAGAAGCTGTAAGCCCTTCAAACATCTTTAGACCAAACCAAACCCAGGAGCAGCCTAAAATTTTTAAATCTCTTTTGTCTAAAACCTCAGAAAGGAAAAAGAATATGTGGCACACCAGATTCCATAGATGACACTTTTAAAACTACTGCCCTTTTTATAGAAATTAGTCATTCAGTGAAGCCATTCAGCACTATGATTTATTGAGTAAAATAACTTCATAGCTAAGATGAAAGGGTTAATGAAGATTTCCCAAATTGCATAAGCTATTCCCAAGAACAAGCTTATGTGTTAGGAAAATCCAGAGAATGCAGCTCAAGTTTTCCTTTTTAATTAAGTGTTGCATTTTGAATAACTATCTTGAACTACTGGATCAAGGGAATAAAAGTGAATTAATTTTAAATTCCAACCTAATATGGGTCTAAATTAATAAGAACAGTATTTTAGAAGACATCTACTTTCAATAAACCTAAAATGAGCATGCTTTTTAAAGAGGTAAGTTTGTCTTTGAATTGTTTATCTTTTTTTATAAAGATAGAAGATAACATTTTATGTCTAAAGCTTTCATTTTCCATAATCTTACTACTAGAGTTTTTATTATACATTTTAATCTCTTTAAAAGTTATAGCAGATAAATATAACCTAAACTGTCTGATTTTCTATTAAGTTTTATTTCTTGGTAGAAACCTGACTAAAAAATATTTATACCTATAGAACATTACCAAAATAACATCGTTGTAAAAATCTCTTTCTCCAGTGTTATTTTATTTTCAGATATTTCAACATATTAAAAATAGTTTTGTTCACATGACCTTTTGATTTTAAAAACTGTATTTAGAATCCAAGACTTTTGCTTTTCTTTGACAAAAATAAGAGTAATAAAAGTTTTGCCTCTTTGCTGCTGTTCTTTCAGTGAACTCCGTTTGAACTATCCTAGTTGAATTTATTTCATTGCATGGCCATCTAATAAAATATCATACTGTATTCCTCTGAATAAACCCAGGTATTTTTCCTTAGGGAGCACAAATGCTTCATGAATAAAGCAATATAGTCTCAATTTCAATAATATTTCTACTCAGAAATATTAGGTCACAAAACTGTTTATGTTCCACGTAGATTTTTTGAAGGTATCCTCCTAAACTGTTTGTTTCTTAGACAAATATTGCATGTCTATTTCCATTCACTATACTCTTCTATTCTGAAGGGAGAGCACAGGGCCAGGGAACACCGCAGCTGTGACATGGCTGCCCGTTTATGTTCCACGTAGATTTTTTTAAGGTATCCTCCTAAACTGTTTGTTTCTTAGACAAATATTGCATGTCTATTTCCATTCACTACACTCTTCTATTCTGAAGGGAGAGCACAGGGCCAGGGAACACCGCAGCTGTGACATGGCTGCCCAGGCAGTGGCCAGCACTTCCGCCATTTCTCACCACAGGGCATGTTCAGAATTTAAAGTTTGAGCTTTGGCCTAAATTTGCTCTCTTTCCCCATAAATTCTCAGCCTGTGTAGTCTAGACAGGCCTCCAGATATACCTGAGCAATCTTTACACTTACATTTTCAGGACATTTTTTCAAAAGCAATTCTGGTGTTCTCAGCTTTTGCTTTATTTGTTTTCTGCAAGTTTGCTTCTAAAAAGCAGCTAAATACCTTATCTTATGAAATATGTTCCTGAAAAGCTACGCATAAATTGAAACATATTTTAAATTTCTCAAACAAGTTATCTGTACAGTAACTCCCACAACAAGTCCTTTTCTAAAGCAAAGAAAAAAATTTTTTTTGTAAAATAAATAATTACCTCCTCCTTTTCAAACAGGAATGATCATGAGCTAGATTTATTTTTAGAGGAATATGACAGTGGATAAGCAGATTCATGTATTAAAGAGACTGAGAATTTTTTTTTAATCTTTTTGTCAGTTTAAATTGTCTACCTTTAGTTTCAGAATAGGCAATCAGCCATCTTTGCATAATTAATATAATAATTCCTTTGTTCATTAGCTGGGATAATGGGAAAAAATTGGTTCTCTATATTCTTTTTGTTTTTGCTTTTTGTTTTACAGAAGTAAGGGATTGGGGGGAGGGGTATACTATGAATTTACTAATCTCCAGTCAAAACTATACAGTTGTGCTGCTCTCTATGACCCTGGTAGTACTGGGGGGTCAGGATGGAACTTGAACGGGACCAGGGAAGTGAGGATAGTAGTAGAAAGTGACAGTAGAACTGGCAGTATTAATTTGGAAGAATTTTTCATGAAATATGTTCATGTGTTTGATTAAAAGCTATTACATGCAGCTCACTACTAAAATTAGGCACAAAGGAAAATAGCTTACCTATCAGGCAGCTTTAGTTCAAATAACTATTTGGCTTCTGTATGTGTTATTAACATTCCCTTCAACTCCAAATGAGCTCATTATGGAGCAGATAAGGAAATTGAGAAAGAGACTAAATGACTTTCTAAGGTTATAAATCAAG